GTTGTTGTATGCATTAAAATAAGCTGTACAATCATGTCATATAAAAGTAGATAGCAATGTGAGACACTACAGGCCTTATGTGTAGCCCAGCAAATTTCTGGTGCATTGAAATCACCGGATATCAGCTTGGGACCAGCGGGCAGATTGCCTACGAAATTCAAAGCACTATTTATAGACAGAAAGCTATCGGCATTTTGCCTAGGTGAACGATAGACACCTCAATACTCCGATTACAAAGTGGGCAAGAATATTTATAAAATCGAACAAAAATAAAATAATGAATAAGTGCAGTTTATTGTTAGAGAGAGTGTTTCCTGAACAGTCAAAATGCAAGTAGATTGAATCAAATCCGAAAGTTGTTTTACCGCATCAATTACAATTTTTTCCGCCCTTGTACTGATCGCCGTGCTGATAGCGTGATGTCGAAGCTTCTATACACATTGGGAAAGTTTCGAGCTGTAAGCGTACAACTTCCACTTTTGAATCTGCCACTAGGGTTTTTTCCCCAGGGTCCCATCAGCATGTCTGTCTTCTGGACCAAAGGGAACTGTGATAGGCATCGATCTCGGAACGACAAATTCATGTGTGGCTGTAATGGAAGGGAAACAACCAAAAATTTTGGAGAATTCTGAAGGTTGTCGCACAACTCCATCGGTTGTTGCCTTTACAAGCGACGGTGAGAGACTTGTTGGCGCACCAGCCAAGCGTCAGGCCGTGACCAACTCAGCCAACACACTGTCAGCCACAAAGCGTCTAATAGGGAGACGGTTCGATGATCCAGAAGTCCAAAAAGATTTGAAGAACTGCTCCTTCAAAATCATCAAAGCATCGAATGGCGACGCTTGGGTTGAAGCTCAAGGCAAAGCTTATTCCCCCAGTCAAATTGGCGCATTTGTTCTCATGAAAATGAAGGAGACGGCCGGTAAGTTCGTTCACTTCCTAATTGTCTTCAAGAAAATTACTTGGGCTCCAAGGTGAAAAACGTGGTCATCACTGTTCCCGCTTACTTTAATGACTCGCAGCGACAGGTATATGCAGATTAAATTGTTGATTGCTGTAGGCCACCAAAGATGCCGGCAAGATCGCTGGGATGGAAGTTCTTCGAGTAATCAACGAACCAACAGCCGCGGCTTTGGCGTATGGCTTAGACCGAGTTGGAGATAAAACGTACGTTCCTCTTCATTTACTCATGCTTGTTCCATAGCATTGCCGTTTATGATTTGGGCGGTGGCACCTTTGATATTTCTGTCTTGGAGATCCAGAAGGGTGTATTTGAAGTTAAATCCACTAATGGCGATACATTCTTGGGCGGTGAGGACTTCGATAACGAGTTGCTGCGGTATTTGGTGAATGAGTTCAAGAAAGAGGTATCCACTTAATTATTTTTAATGCCTGTAGCAAGGTATTGATGTCACCAAAGATCCAATGGCACTGCAACGAGTAAAAGAAGCCGCGGAAAAAGCAAAAATTGAGTTGTCATCGTCTTTACAGACAGACATTAATTTGCCCTATCTGACTATGGATAGTTCTGGACCCAAGCATATGCACATGAAACTCACGCGATCTAAACTTGAATCCTTAGTCGAACACCTCATCAAGCGAACTATTGGTCCTTGTGAGAAAGCTCTTAAAGATGCCGATATCAAACCCACAGATCTCGGAGATGTTATCCTGGTTGGTGGGATGACACGAATGCCAAAGGTAGGCATCGGGTAATACAGCTTCAATGTTTTCAGGTTCAAGAAACTGTAGAAAAGGTTTTCGGTAAAACCCCTAGCAGAAGTGTAAACCCAGATGAGGCGGTTGCCATGGGCGCAGCTATTCAGGTGAGCTTTGATTGTAACTCCGTCTTACCTCTTTAGGGAGGTGTGCTTGCTGGTGACGTCACGGATGTTCTACTTCTAGACGTCACTCCACTGTCTTTGGGAATCGAAACACTGGGCGGTGTAATGACGAAGTTAATCAACAGAAACACCACCATTCCCACCAAGAAATCACAAGTGTTCTCTACAGCGGCAGATGGTCAAACGCAAGTGGAAATCAAGGTTTATCAAGGTGAACGGGAAATGGCTAATGACAACAAGCTTCTTGGTCAGTTTTCTCTGGTAAGTAAAAAGTCTTATTTCCAACAGCTACTCTGTTTACGATGCTCGACGTGGAGCCACTCCGGCATCGGTATTCTTTGGGTGACTTTTCCGGACCTCATCACTGGTTTCTGGTAGTGAAGATACTGTTAGTTACGATGACATTGCTCTGAGTGTTTTCCCATGTATTAACCCTATAGGTGCTGTTTCAACTAATCCTCAGTCTCCGATTTTCGATTGTTGAGTCCGGAACCTCATGACCTAACCTAACTTAAGTGATGTTTTCAGTTGAGCGTAGAACGTTTCATATTCAATCCATGACGGTTGACACCTGACGTGTTGGTGCGCTTACTCTTCGGCTGCGGTCAACTGAGTAAACTTTTAACTAATGACCTAGCGCGGACAGTCGACATTGGTGTTTTAGAACGTGCTAGTTGTGTTTAAGCGATCTTGGTCGCTGTCGCCGTGCCCAGACTTCATGGTTTGTACCCCACCACCCGAATTCGGTGGTATTTATCTCCAGCTCATTAAGAAGCTTTTACTGGGAAACTGGATCACAGGTCCTTTAGGCTCCTTATCTGGAGACCCCGAGTTCAGGGTAGACTCGGCGGTATGGCTTGGTGTCGCACACAATGACGCGCATGCATCTAATCATTCTTTTAACGCCGGTCTATATAAATTCTCTATTCCACTTGAATTTGCTCCCAGCATTCCGATCTTCAATCTGCTCTTTTATCCTAATGAGCGGCCGAAAGACAGCAACCAAAAGCGGTGCACGGTAAATGGTTGTAAAAAGTGAAACTATAAAAATTGTGCAATAAAATGTAACCGCTTGGCTCTACAGAAGCCCCGGTGACGTTAGTGAATCTGTTCCACTACCTCGAGGTAATCATCACCCTGTGAGCCCATAGCTGTTAGTTGACTGTCGAAAGAATGAAAGTGTATTGTCGAAAAAGGTGAGCTGATGGGCACTCGAACCTACGGCATCCTCGAATTTTTCCACGAGACTGGCTCATTCTCGTCCTCGCCGGGATGGTAAGTTGAACCATGAGAATACTAGGATAATTATTGGCAAGCAATTATGCACCCCATCACCCCATGCTTGTCTCCCCAGTGCAAAGTCCTGAGGGTGCACAACTATTCCTCAGGAGCTTAAAAACCGGAATTGCTGATCAATTTTTCTCATTCACCGTTGAATGTTTGTCATTCATTCTTAGGAACTTTTAGACTTGAAGCTTTATCCCTGCTAGAAATATGGTGCTCAATGAATCCACCAAGACGATACTCCCCCTCATTTTAAAGGATATTCATGTGTAATAGGTTTATATTTTGCTTTTCAGTGATAGGCTACCATCACAAAGCTTCTGCACTTTGACGGGGTGGCATGTACATCCATGTTTCCTGGCACGTATGCTTGGAAGATTAGAGATCAGACAGGATCTAAATCTACTCCGAAGAGTAATCGGTGCAATTATAGGGATGATCATGTAGAGTGTAACAAAGTTGATTATATGATTAGGGAATCTGCAAGGCTCTAAAAAAGGCATGGGTAACGATGAAGTTGGCCGCTCTACTGAAGCAAGATGACGAAGAGATACTGTTTCTTCTCGTCCATAGTGTATTCAGGGTTGCTCTCCAGTAGTACAACTTCCTCTATCATGGGGTCATACTTGGAAGAGCGGATGTTTCTTCAATATAGTACGGAACTATGTGTTAGCCACTGGTGCCAATAGCAGATTTTCGATTGTGAAGAAACACGTTTGTGAGGCGTCGCGTTGATGGTCGTTCAGAGTAATGATCTGATAGCATGGAGGGCATCAGGTAGCACCAAATCCCATTGATCAGCCGCTACATCCTTAGAACGGAGGCACAGAGGAATGGTATTCTAGATGGTTTCGTTCAACTTTTCAACCTGACCATTACCTTTAGGGTTGTAGCTCATCGTCCTGCTAATAGCTACTCCTCGGTCGTGAAGGAACATCTTCAGTTCCTCAGACATGAGGGGCCCCTTGATCGGAGTTTAAATAGTGCGGCAGGCCAACTATAGAAAATAACTCAGTTGAACGAGAAATTATAGTGCGAGCAGTCACGTCGAGACCGAGAAAGGCAAACGGCAAACGGGAATACTCATCAGTAATAGTCAAAACGTGATTTCGAGTGGAAGAGGGAATTGGGCCTCTGAAATCAAAGCTGAGGTGTTCAAAAGGTTGTGTAGCCTTAACAAGGGGACTACTGCGTGGTATGTGGAACTGGAGTTTAGAGCGTGCAAAAATAGAACATGGCTGGGTTACCACCTTGATATCATCGAGAGAAAAAGTAAATTTTTTGTGCTGACAAAATGATACAGACGCGTGATATCGAGGTGGCACAGACCCGTGGAGTCTCTTCAGTTCATCGATTGAGTGAGTGCTTGCGCAGAATGCTCGTGATTAAGCATCGGTTGCAGGATTCCCCGAACCTGGACGGTATACTACATCATAGGAGAATTGGAAAAGTTGGATACGCCAACGTTGTATTTTGTCGTTCTTGATTTTGCTGCTGACTTTCATGTCGTACATGAAGGCGGCGGAGCGTTGATCAGTTATCAATTTTAAGTGGGCACCCAGTAGGTGATACAACCACTTTCGAATGGCTTCAGTTATTGCGTAGGCTTCCACAGCTTTGAGGGTAACGGTGCATACATAAAAGCCACGGCGCGACCACTTTGATTGAGTCTGGCAGAGATGGTTATGTCGGAGGCATCGGTTTCGACCACTAGTGGTGTGTCTGCATCGACTGCAACCAGTGATGCTTGAATTAGCTCGGATTTCAACGATTCGTAGGAGAGTACTTCATTGGGAAGTGGGAAGATTTTGTTAGTAATTAGCTGGCGAATCTTTTCCGAAAAATGAGAAAACCACTGGGACTAGTATGAGAACATTCCTACAACTCTGTTGTGCCTTCATATTCGAAGAGAGGGGGTAGTTTGAGAAGGGCATCGAAGCGTTCAGGATCCGGCTTGACGCATCCTTTGGATATTTCGTAACCCAGTAATCGAACTACTTCTTAGGTAAATACACACTTGTGATTTAAAGTTAAACCATGTTTGGCAGCCGCCTGCAGGAACCTCTTCAGATTGATGTCCCACAGACCGTAATGTTGTCTACATATACAAAGGTTCCTTTAAGCCCTTCACAAGTTCATCCATGGTGCGCTGAAAACAGGCGACGCCGTTGGTTACTCCAAACGGTATGCGACGAAATTGGTAAAGGTTACTGCATGCCTCGAAAGCTGTCGTTAGTTTTCCTTTATAGATATTTGGTGGTCCGCACTCTTCAAGTCTTGGTTGCTGCTAATGCTGTATTCTGCAATTTTACCCACCAAGTCATCAATGCGGGGTAACGAATAAGCATCCAACAGGGTGAATCGGTTAATTGTCTGACTAATCAACTACCATCCGTCGTTTCGCTGTTTGCAACTAGGACCTGGGACCGCCATGGTGATCGAGAAGGTTCGATTATTCCATCGTTCAATAGCCTAACTACCTCTGAACGAATAAAATTGTCACCGTAGTAGCTGTCTTCTCGAGTTTGTGCAAATAGAAATGGCCCTCCACTTCGCGCTCGCTGTCTTGCGATTGTATTCGATCGAAAACTAGTCACTCCAAACTCTCCTTGAAAACAGTGCTGATTGAGCTTCATTCAGCTTAAATCAAGTAGTTCGGCTGGTTTTGTCGCAGCGAACGATTCATTTGAAACCGGCGGATATAAGCCGCGTAGGTCCTGCGGAGTAGCTAATAAGACCAGCTCGAGTTTGAATTAAGAATATGACTCACCGATGTTACACTTCCGTTAATTGTAAATAGTGGGTTTCACTTCGACCAAGTCGTATTGTCGAAATAATTTTTTGAAAAGACCATGCGATGGATTAAGGTCTCCCGGACGGGCATCCCGAGGTCATGGTTACCGGTGGTTGGAGACTGAGTGGTATGGCTAAATGTCGCAAACGGGGGCACTCGTGCATCTATTCATTATCTTCGCAACTTTAGTCCATGTGGATTCTTCATCTTTTACCCTGCTCGCGTTATTGTATTCTTCCTTCTTCCGTTTTTATCTAAATGGGCGGCCGAAAGACAGCAATCAAAACCGGTGCATAAAAGAGAGTGCTTATCCGCTGTAAATTCTGAAGCGAGCAACTTCGTTCTACATCTTAGTAGCAGGCACTATACCCGAGCCTACCGAGCATTAACACTATACCTTTTTCATTTTAACATGTCCGAAATTCAATTTAAGATGCCACAATATGAATTTAAGATGTCACAATATGGATTTAAGATGTCATGTTGCTATGTGGATAGTACCTTGCACAGTACACAGTGAAAACAGCAACACGATATCCTCAATTGATACTCGGACATCCTAAATTGGATTTCAGACATCTGAAATTGGATTTCGGATACCTTGAACTGAAAAAGGTATAGAGGCATGTTTGAACATTATTAACCATCATTAGGTAATCATGTGTTGGAAAAAGCTTTGTGCCCGAATCACTTGTTAACTGCAACACAGATTAAACTCACGGTTCATGTTCAATAAACTTTTCTATTCAGGTCGGCATTCCTCCAGCCCCTCGTGGTGTTCCACAAATTGAGGTCACTTTCGACATAGACGCTAATGGCATTGTCAATGTTTCAGCTCGGGATAAGGGCACTGGTAAAGAGCAGCAAATCGTCATTCGCTCCAGTGGTGGACTGAGCAAAGATGATATCGAAAATATGGTTCGTAACGCTGAACAGTACGCTGAAACTGACAAACGGCGGCGTGAGTTAGTCGAAGCGATCAACCAGGCTGAAGGTATTGTACACGATACAGAAAGCAAAATTTCTGAGTACAAAGATCAGTTACCCGAGAACGAGGTGAGTTTTTGATAATTCATCACTGTAACATGCTTGTTCATTTGATTTGGCGGTTCGATTTATATCAAGCACAATTGAAGTGCATCATCCTACTTATGTCCAATGCATCGATCATTGTACAATAATTTGTTGTTTTTATACCACAGGTTGGATCAATGTTAAATGTTTTACATTTACTACTTGTTTATGCAATAATGGTTGAAGGGAATTCATAAGGCGGGTTTTTACCGTCGGATAGCTACGGAACCCGTGCTCCCGGGTGACAGACCAATTGATATGATGCATATATTTTTTTACAGTGGTGGTAGACAGCCTTAGTGTTGGTTCAATACCATCTAGCCTATCGGTACCTTATGTCATTCGCCACCACGGAACAGTAGATCCTCGGGACCGCGGGGGTTATTCCGTCTGCCTTTCCTGATATATACGTCGCGGTTTGTAGTGTTCTGCTTTACAGTTGCGAGACACGGCCTCCGCACTGAGGATGCTAATGGACTCTATTGTCATTTCCGTTATCTTTTGTCTCCACTGTTAGTTGTGATCTTTTCCCGAACATCAGCTTCAGCTGTAATTAAGCTCCTGAGGTTCTTGAAACTCAGATACTTCCAGCTGATTGCCAGAAAGAGCGGGTGCCGCCACAGGCTCCTGCTAGCCTTGCACCAGCACTGTTCTCTTGGTTTTCCCACAGCACATATGTATTGCCGAGTGACTTGAAGTTTTTTAGATTGCCTATGCATTGTCACCCAGCAAGGCGATGTCAGCATATTCCAAACCAATAATTCTCCCCTGAAAAGAGTTCGAATCCCGCCTTTTAGACCGGACAAAGCCCCATGTGAAATATCCTTTATGGCAAATCATGAAACGTTTTTCTTTTTATAACAATTTTTGCACTATGGTTTGTTAGGCGCACAGTTTGGCGTCAGACGTTTGAAATGGAAAAATGGAAGAGGAGTGGGCGTATAGAGCAGCCTTGTTAAACTTCAATGGCAAAGGGTGGCAAGATCTGTTCATAAGCCAGAACCGACCTGATGATAGAACTCAGGTTCTGCATACCTCACCAAACACATGTAAGCTGCTCCGCACGCGTATCGTACAACCTGCAAAGTATGATGGACGCTAACGGCTTTAACACCATGGGGATGATGTTTATCCCCCTGTGGTTAGTAGAAAACCGCGTGGGCCCCTTTTTAAAGAGGAAAGCAACAATTGATCCCCCCAATCTTGATAGAGGAGGGGGCTCTGCTCGACGTTTCAAACGTTAGGGAACAGAACTTGCAGTTTCTTAACAAACCTTTTAATATTTCAATACAGCTGGGCGGGACAATCTGAGGACGGCACTGTGACTTTCCAAGGCGGAGCACCGCCTCGGGAGGTGGTTCTGTTGAGATAGGTCACCGGGTTCGTGCCGAACTAGCTGTGTCGGAATTTGACGCTCTTAGCCAGCCAGACTGGGTCCCAAAGCGATAGCAAGCATGCAGGTTAATTTCAATTTTTTTTGGATTATTTGCGTAGTCGTATTGCATTTTCAGTTTACATTTAGGGTGGAACATACTCTTATGTTCACATTCTTGCCCTAATCTCTGACAGAACGATGAAATCAAGCTGTTTATCTGACGTCAATTCCGAGAAGCAGTTTCGGAAAACTAAATTTGACGATTTTTTTTGCATTTGTATCATTTAATTTAGTTTATTATCTGTCATACTTTGCATTTGCAGGAAAAAGTTTTCTCTCCAAATCGTTTCATAGCGTTTCTTAGTTTCACTCAGTCTCCATCATTTTTAGCGGCAGCAATTATCTAAACAAATTGAAGAACTCAAAACGAAGTTGAGCAATAAAGAAAACGAAACTGCTGAATCCATTCGATCAGCTACTAATGAACTACAGCAGGCCTCACTCAAACTATTCGAACTGGCCTACAAAAAGGTGAGTTGTCCTTATTTGATTCGCTTACTAATTTTTGATAGATGGCTAGTGATCAAAGTTCAGGTGCGAAGAGTGATCAGTCATCCCAACAAGAAAAGCAATAATCATCATCATTCTGTGCGTTTTAGTCAGTTTATACTCATTGTCTTGTAAGTACATTATCTTCATATACATCATCTGCACATATTGTTTGTTTTCAAAAACCTCGGAAAAGGGACTACGTGGGAGGCTTATTTGAGCGAGGCCTTACGTAATGCTTTCGGGTGCTTTTGGGGACATAAACATCTAGTGGTGGTGGCGCAGTGATTTAGCCGCTGTCACCGGCGTGCTTTGGACCCTATGGTCCGAGGTTCGAACCGCGCCACCCTATTTGGTGGTAGACAGCTCTGCAATCGTTCGGTTTAAAATCCACGACTAACCTATCGAGGCCTTATTTGGCTCACCACTCCAAGTCCCGGAGCTTAGGTTGCCGCTATCCACCACTGAACAGCAGTCCTCGTGACTACGGGGGTCTTCTGTTGATCACACTCAGGTATGTAATAAAAAAGTGGGGGAATACAGAAACGATTGTCGTGCATAGTTATGGTCTGAATTTCATTGTATTCCCTATTGTGCTAATCAGTTAGGATGGACCTCGGACAGTGGATGAAAGATTGTTGCATCAGTTATTCGGCACCGGAGGTCAGTATCCACAATAAACAAGAATGACTTCTCCCTGAGCAGATTGCGTTAGTCTAGAGTTCATTTACTCTGGCGCTAGTGTGGTTCCAGTGTTTGCAGCGGAAAATCCGTCTGCGATAACATGGGAGCTTCCAATCGAACGAGGGTGTGTTCAATCGCAAAATAAAGACAACTTGATGGGCTTCTGTCTCTTTTTTTAAACTAGGGGGTGTTCTCGAGGTGCCCTATTCTGTCATTTCTATTCAGTTTCTTTGTAGACGAAATACTGGTAAGCGCACTAAGTAGGTGGTCACTAAATGTAAGTATTGAATGGGAACCTAGAGGAAAGGTGTGTGGTTTAGAGTGCATCGACGATATCACATGCTGATTCAAACATGTGCACGGTTAGGTTGTGTACTCCATGGAGATTCACTTTTTTGCGTGATCCAGTTGCACTCAATCCTTGTCCATCTCATTTGTTTCGCGTACATAGAGCTTGGCTGCAATCAACGAAGTTCGCTTCACTGTTTCTTGCTGTGCGGTGATGATAATGATGAGTGGGCCTGACGGAATACACAACCGGGGATACATTGATTAAACTGGGCTCTCCAACTTTGTGCATCCCCACCAGTATATTCAGTAGATATGGGTTGTTTTTACAAGTATATTGTTTGTCCAACTGAGTTGCATCTGCTGGCCTCCACGTGACTGTTTCCAGTCTGCAGCAGCCATTGTAAATAAGATGCGGTGTGGTAGGCGATCGTTCAACATACGCAGTGTATCCCAACCAGGAGAGCCTATTGAACTGAATTCAATGCAATAGCGAGTTCTTCCTCGAAGCATTTCTAATCACCCACGTACATCTAGGTTAGTAAGTCAATCTATCCCACCTGGGTCAGACTATATATTTCACACAGGTCTGACGCTAGACTGTGTGCCAGACGAGTCATGGTACGATAATCCTTATTAAATGGGCTAGGCTGTGGCTATCGGCAATAGTCGCAGTCCTTCTCTGATTCAAATTCAGGAACGCTGTCTTGAACGTTGTGCAGACCATTTTAAGGCACAGTTCAGCTGGTCCCGTTCGACACAAGACCTACCCGCTTCAACTGCGCAAAGACTGTCAGTTTACATCAATCCTCTATCTGAACTGGAGGTTACCCGGGAAGTAAGTTATCTCAAACGGCATAAGGCCTCCGGCCCAGATGGGACGTACTCATCGGCTTTTGAGGATGGAGGTCCAGCCTTGGTTTTGGAGTTAATAAAACTTCTGGGTTCATTGTAGGAGAGGGCAGATGTTCCAACTGAATGGTGTGAATCGGTGATCATACCGATTTACAAGAAAGGTGATGGATCCTCTTGTGAAAACCATAGAGGAATTAGTTTGATCAACATCGTCTCTAAACTTCTCGCTGGTATCATACTCCGCCGATTGTCTGCCGCATGTGAACGGTACACGCGTGAGAACCAGGCTGGTTTCATACCTGGTTGTGATTGTACCTGTTATGTTCAAAAGATGCGGAGTAATGCAGATGAGGAGTCTGGCCGTATGTAGGCTTTAATCTTCTTCACTTCAGTTCAGTTCATACAAACATTAACTATGCACTTTCGTGCGCCGGTTTTGGTTGTTCTCACGCTTCACTCCGTGTGTCATGTGATTCGACATCTGAAGGTCGCATTGTTGCTGGTGTTGGGATTGCAGCTGAGTGTCAAGGCCGAGCATTCACTTCTCGATTGGGTCCCGGTTAACAATAGTAGTACAAAAGCTGCAATGCAAGAAAAGGGGGAGGTAATTAAGTTCCATGTGAAGTAGGGTAACACATCAGTTTATGACATTCTCCCTCGCAGGACAGAAAACCAGTGGTGCTTGGGGATTCCTCTTAAGCCTCTCTGTTTCGCGAGTTGTGCGGGTGAACATCTTTTTCGATGTGCGGTTGCAAGTTATCTTGTAGATCTGGCTGCGTAGCTAACTCCGGTTGGATGGGCTTGGGCAGGAGCTGTGAGTGGGCAGTTGTAAAGAGTTGGTCTCGGGATACGAATGCGAGTAGTCGTTAGTGTTAATACCTTGGTTCGCTTGTGTCAGTTGCTTTGGGAACAAGATGTCTTGAAGGAACGGTTTCCTCTCTTCCATTAGGGAAACGGATACATGCGTACTGAGGGTTGTAGTCTAGGAATTCTACCTCTTCCACCAAAGGGTCGTATTTCAAGGGCCGTGCCATCTTTTTCAGCCAAACTGCCTGGATTCGATAACTACTTGGGAAGGGAAATACCAGTGGCAAACCTGCGATTGAACTTCAGGAATCGTTTGTGGTGTCTCGTTGGTGGCAGTACACAATAGAGAACGAACAGAATGCAGGGCATCCATAAGTACACTTTCCTGCTGGGAGACGTCCAGTTGTTGAGACCCTACATATAATGTGATGGCTATTCATAAAGTGCCGTTAAAGCACTACCTGTCCGTTATCGCGCAGATTATATGGGGTCGTTGAGCTGGTAACGACTCCTTTGGCATGAAGGAAGCTTCCCAACCCATCAGACATGAGGGATGCTCCTCAATCGAAATGGATATATGAAGGTAACCCAAACAGTGAAAATATTCGATTGAAACGCTTGATTACGGTCGACGAAGTAACGTCCGAACAGGCAAAAGCAAAGGGAAAACGTGAGTGTTCGTCAATTATCGTCAAGAGGTATTTGTTATGGAATGTGGATGGGAATGGACCCTTTCAGTCAATACTGATTCTTTCAAATGGTTGTGTAGCTTTAACGAGTTTTCCAGAATGTTCGAGAAAGCGGGCTTAAGTTCGGAAGACGTTGCACACTGATTATTGATGGTTTTGATGCCATTGAGTGGGAATGGTAAGTTTTTAGAAAGAAAAATGTGACATTCGTGTAATACCGGGGTGAGAATTTGTATTATGTAAATGTTTCAAGTTAGTGCGTGATATAGCAGAGAGACAGTTGTTCCAAGAGAGTGTATCAGCAGCTTTTGGTCACCGGGACGGTACCGGATGTCATGACGATAACACGAGAGTTCCAGTTTCCACTTTTAGATTTTGTCATTTTTCATCTTTCCTTTGTGTTGTTTATCATAGATGAAGACTACTGAACGTTGGTCAGTGATGAGAGTAAAATGATTGTTGAGCAAGTAATATCTCCAGTTTCTTAGAGATTCGACAATGGCTTAAGCTTCTTTTTCGATAGCATAATGCTGTTGCTCACTGGGAGATAGTGTGGGGAAAAAGGCCACTGACCATCCTGGCTGAGCGTGGCATCTACGACAATTTCGGATGCGTCTGTCTCGACAACTACGGGACGGTTATAATCGATTGTAAACACAGCGTCTTTTTCCAATTCCTTTTTCATGTTTTCCAACGCATCCTGCACTTCTGGGTGGTGGGAATGTTCGGTTGTTCACCGAAATGTAGATTTCATCAGAAAATGAGGAATCCACTGGGCATAATACGCCAACATTCTGACTACTCTTCTCTGTTAGTGAATGTCGAAAGGTGCAGATAACTCTCGTACAGCGCGGAATCGTTCAGGGTCAGGTTTAACCATCCCATGTGTGATTTCGTATCCCAGGGGTTGAATCTTGTTGGCAGAAATGATAGTCTTACTTCCGTCGAACGTTATTCCACGTCTATTGGAAGCCTCCAGAAAGCTCTTGAGATTTGCATTGTGCTTTTGAGCATTGCAGCCGCAAACAGTGACATTGTCGACGCAGGCAAAAGTATCTCGTAAGCCTTCTTCACGGATAATATTAAATATGGCGCGTTTGAAGCAGGTCTCTCCGTTCGTAACTCCGAATGGAAGGCGGCGGAATTAATATAACTCACGGAATGTCTCAAAGGCTGTATAGGGTTTATCTTCTTCGCGGGTGGGGACTTGATGGTAAGTACTTTGAAGATCCTACAAACACGACGAGACTGCATCTTGACGTGGTGTGATGGCTTGCGCGCCTCAATGACCCTGTGAGCTACACGGGATCGCTTCTCACAACCGTAGATCCAATCATGCCTGGAAGGTCAACGGGTAGAGGCCAGACGAAGATCAGTCTCATAAGGCCAGCTGCTTGGATACCTCCTGGCTTCCTTTTCTATCCACACCCGCCCCTGGAGAGGCCACTCCAGTAAATAAACACGGTGAGGGGCAGTTTACCGGTCGAAAAAACTCCGCTAGATGGACGTAGGAGCGGGGTACCTGGGGCTTCCTCTCGACGGTGGGAGAAGTCTTCGCACTTCATTGGACAGCTACCGCCCGCCCAAGCTGGGCAGCCCCCAGTCAATAAGGTGCTGTCCCGTCCACGTTCCGCTTGTCTCATTGGGTGCATTAGGCTAAGGGCTGATCCCGAAAAGCGGACCGATAATCAACACACCAGCAAACAACAAACTTGACCGAAATTCAAAGGTCTTGCGTGACAGGTCTCCAGAAGCTCCACACACGGGTGCTTCGTTCACGCTCCCGCGTTGGATTTACGCCCCACTGCCTTGTGGGTCAGACTCCTAAGTCAAAGGCTCCGGTTTGGGTTCCCAAAGAAAACCTTCGTCGGTGTGGGCTACCGCGAAGTATGCCGTGTCCGAAAGTTTTAGGAACCCATTTGGAAAACGATCCTTCCCTTCTGACTAGTTCTTCTCAATCCCGATTAGTC